ACACCAAGAAATGTAAGATGCTTTACTCTCTCAATTGACTGCCCATACATGGACACTCCTTGCTCCCTTACCATTTTATTTCCAAACACAACATATTTTGTTTTTTCAACCGACATCTTAAAACCCCATACCTGTCCCCAGCTCAAAATTTTATTCAGTGCCTCTTGGATCTGAGACATTACATGGGCTACATTGTGACCTTTACTCCAGACTGCTCCGTCATCCGCAAATATGGATGTTCCAAAACCAGGTCCTATCTCATCAAACATATCATTAACCATTATGTTAAATAAGATAGGACTAATGACACTCCCCTGTGGCGTACCGTTGTCAATCCTAGTCCCTTTAGACAGTTCATTTCCCACCCTCACCTGGATAACTCTTTCTTGGAGAAAATCCTTAACCCAGTTTAGTAAGCGTCCTCTTACTCCTGCATTGTACAGTTTGATAACCAAGCCTTCCTTCCATAGCATGTCATATGCTTTTTCAATGTCAAGGAAAACAGCCACCAGCACTTCCTTATTAACCAGAGCTTTCCTAATATCAGAATCCAGACACAAGACTGCATCCATTGTACTTCTACCTTTTCGAAAACCACTTTGCACTCTACTTAACCAACCCTCACTCTCTAGCTTAAATACCAACCTTTCAGTCACCATTCTCTCCATAACTTTACATAAGACAGACTTTAGGGCAAGGGGTCTGTAAGAAGCTGCCTGTGATGGCTCCTTTGCCGGCTTCAAAATTGGTACAATCACTGCCTGCTTCCATATCTTTGGGAGATTACCATCTTCCCAACTATTATTAATTAGTGCTAGGAGCTCATCTAAAACACTCTCGCTCACTCTCTTAAGTAGCTCATAGCTGACTCCATCCCTACCCGGTGCTGACTTCTTATCTTTAGCAATAGCTTTTTTAAACTCCTCTTTAGAAAAGGAAAGGTTTTATGTAGCAGGTATTGTACTGTACCATCTATACATTTAAGGTAGTTGTTAGGCTAGATCTCAGAAGACTGGGTGCGACTCGCAGAGAGAGAGGCAGAGACTGGATATTTGCGTTTAGATAGCTTAATTGTATTTACATTAATGTGTATGGACAAGACAGACAAAACATGTAGACAAGTGCTAAAATGAATGGCCATTCAGTGCAAATATACAATAATAAATCCCAGGTGTTATATACAGTGTAACAATAGAAGTCAATATTTAACAATAGTTCAAGACAATTCAACCGCACAGATTGAATGAATAAATAGTTCAGTTCATATAGGGACACGGCCCTTTGATTATGAGAGCACGGCTCAGTTCGTTCGCACAGATGTGGCGACAAAGTTTATACGGCCCAAAAGTTTTGAAGATAATCCAGAGGAAGGATGTGGATGGAAGGGAATGAATACGATTGGTTGAAGGCCGTAGAATAAAGTGCGAGTAGTGCAATCAAGTGTGAGGGGTGGCTGCGAGAGCCTCCTACCAGCCCGGACAGAGCAGTAGGTGGGGTCCTCGAAGGAATCTCCCGGTGAGTCGTATCTCTAGGCTAAAAGCCTGTTCCTTAGCTTGCCATCATTCAAATGTGGCCGACTCCACTTTCTAAACACGCAAGGCTCAATCGGACAACGATCCGGCGCTGGTGATCGGCTCTACAGTGAAACAAGCAAGTGGCATTTAATTTCCAAAGTCATACAGGTAATAGTCACGAGAAAAATGCATGAAACACACCTCTGCAGCAAACAAACACGGCTTCCCCTCGCGTATGCGCCGCTTCCAGGTTCACGCATATAAACAACACTGATTGGGTGGCTGCGGTCACATGACCACTCGCTCAGCAGCCAAAGAGTAACAATGGCCCAAGAGCATATGCCAAGTCAAACAGGTGGGCTTTTGACACCAGTGTTACATATATACTTCAGAGTTGTCCACATTCCTTTCCAGCTTATATCTATGGAGTCCCAAAGTCTCATTACACTTCCTCCTCTCCCAAGTTCTCTCCACTATGAACAGATTTGAATTGATTCTCAAACACACTAGCCTTTTCTATATCTGATATAACCGACAAACCATTACTTTCCAATATTGGCACCTGGCTACTCCGTGTAACCCCTGCCATTCGATGGACTGCCCTCCAGACCTCTCTCACTGATGTCTCTGCTCCAAGCCTCCCACAGTACTTCCTCCAACATTCTCTTTTTGCCTCTTTGATCACTCTTCTGGCTCTAGCTCTTAACCGCTTATACTCAATTGCATTACTCTGTGTTGGATGCCTCCTCAATGCTTTGAACGCACGATTCCTACCTCGAACAGCCTCCTCACAAGCCTTATTCCACCATGGGACAGAAATTCTTTTAGGACTTTTCTTCTTTGGAATGCACTCTGCTGCACTATTCATGACAACTGCACACAAGCTTTCGCTCCACTCATCAAGTGTACCACTATCATCGATTTCCTTGTAATTTTCCTCACACATCTTACAAAATTTCTCCCAATCTGCCCTTCCATAATTAAAATATTGTAGCTCCTGGTGTATCTTCACCATCACCTCTCTTCCAAACCTAAGAGTAACTGGAAAGTGGTCACTCCCAATATTCCACTGATCCAAAACATCCCATTCCCCAACTCTTGCCAACTCGCTAGATACAAGTGCTAAATAAATACACGAACAGTCTCCCGTTTGAATGTTAAACCTCGTTGCCCTCCCATCGTTCATACACACTAACCCAGCCATTTCCATAAAATCTTCAATTGTACTTCCGTTAACATCCCTCCTTAAACTACCCCATAATGGGTTGTGAGCATTAAAATCTCCCACCCACACCACCGGACTACCTAGCTGTGAATCCACCTCCTCGAGATCTATGGCTTTAAGTTGTAGACAAGGATTATAATAGTTAACAATATAAATCCACCCACTACTTCCCCACACCCGAATAGCCACACACTCCAATTAAGTCTTGAATTTGATAGTTTGATATTGCACATCTTTCCGTATAAAGGAAGCACAGCCTCCTCCCTGCTTTTCTGGCCTATCATACCTGACACTTTCATAGCCGGGGATCACAAAGTCCAGACAGGATTTCAGCCACGTCTCCTGAACAGACAAAATCTCAGGTGAATATTTAAAATCATTCAAAAACGTTTTAAGCTCCTGTCCATTCGCTAAAAGACTTCTGGCATTCCATTGAAGAATGCAGAACATAATAATCAGCAATTAAGTGTCTGGATCCGAAAGATCCCCTGCACTATCCAAATCTTCAAACATTTGTGACCCACGGGAGTCCTCCAACCCAATTTCGCTCAGCTCTGCCCCTTCCCTCTGCAAGTTGGGGGGCCCTCCAATACTACCCTGAAAAACTTTTCAACAGCATCTACAACCATTTTTATCATGTCAGATTTTTTTGAGATACTTTTTGCTGCCCATAGGACATCTACCATGAATGCCTGAAATTTTTTGGTCATAAGCGCCTGGCAACCATCCTCCTTTGGCCCTGCCCCCTCAACATGAGTTTTCTTTGGTACATTCACTTTTTTAATTGCTTCTGCATAGCTAATTTTTCCTTCAGATCTTATCTTTTCAACTTCTACAGCCTTCTGGTGGTACTCACACTCTCTAGATGAAGGCATATGATTGCCACCACAATTACAGCACTTTGCCTGTTCAGCCACACAGCCACTGAAGTCATGATTTCCTCCACACTTTCCACACCTAGTACTCCCCCGACAGACTGATGCCACATGGCCAAAATGCTGGCACATGTAGCATCTAAGAGGGGGTCGGTTATATTGCCTTACGGGGTAACTCATATACCCCAAGGTTACTCTCTCTGGAAGTGCATCCTGTCTAAAGACAACGAGCACTGCCGTGCCAGTTGGATTAAATCTCCGGACTGCCCCAACCTCTGCGCCTTTAAGATTTAGGGCAATGTCCTCCTCAGAGATCTCAGGGCTAACATAGATAACCCCCTTTGTCTGTTTTTCACTATTTTGAACAAAGCTTTCCACAGGTGAGTTAAGCAATTGTTTGACTTTCAGAGCTTTTGCTCTCTGGGCTTCCGATTTGCAAATAACCAAAACATTTCCATTTGACAGAATTTTAGCATTTAAGACAACTCCCATCCTCTCCTTTAGCTCTTCAGACAATTTCAATGGATTCATAGTCTTAGCATTTCTTTCCTTAAACCTAATTATAAGTTTAAACGCATCATTATCACTAACCGGTCGTGCCATTTTCCTCACCTCCAAGCTGTTATCTTCTTCGCTATCATGCCTCGACCACCCCCTCTTCCTTAATGTTCGACCCATACGATTCTAAATGGTTAGATTACGTGACCTAGTAGACGAAGCCGTTACCGGACCTACTCAGGCCATTGGCCGACACTTCAGTCAATCAAGATCAGTAATAGAGTGTGCCAAGTTTTACAACACTGCAAACAAGATTCAAACTCACGACCATGCGCGCCAGACCAACTCGCATGCGCTCCTGCCTCCAAACCAATGCGAAACCTTTGTCCAACTCCAAAGTCAACAGCGTACAAAGAAAACCGACACCGAAAATCACCACAATCACAGCATTCTGGATTTGAGTTCTGTAATGAAACATGAAATTCGGCTTTTGGCTTTTCTCTACTGAAAACTGACAATACTAATCATTATGAATTACACTTTGGTGTGAGTGCAGCAACAGCTGGCCGGGGTCAGACTGACATAACTGAGGCTGCCAGTCTGCACCAACGGAGCACCACCAACACTCACTCACATGTCTCATTCATAGAGTATGAGTACAAACAGAAAATTCACATCAAGTTCATAATCTGTTAAAGCTTGACAAAACAGATTTGGTCCAAAAATGTTGCTTTGGGAAGTCGTCGAGTTTTATCTTGTAAAACACGTTCTGGAGATAATTTGTAAACCTAGCAGAAGAAAGTGAGACTCCACAGCATAAGTTCAAAGTCAGCCACACACCTCAGCTATGATACGAGCAGTGAAAAGGATTGGGGAAAGAACTGTTACCTGTGGAAACCTTCATGTTTTTCCTCATGGCTCTGATCAGTAAGAAAGCCAGGAGCATCACCAGGACTGAGGCCAACGCCAAGGCTCCACTCAACACCTTCACAATAATTCCATCTGAAACACCATGTTTAAACAAAAAGGAAGATGTGATTGGAATGATTGTTATGAAGGAGCACAAACAGAAGCTGAAACTACTGCCACAAATGTGATCACAGAATCAGTAATAGATTATTTTGGAGTTGGAGCACAGTTTGCGTCATTGTCAAGAACTATTAAAAAGTTTATTCCCAAACTGCTGAGGAGGCAGTGTTTTAGAGTTTTAGAGTATTTTACAGCCTCTTCAGTCTCTTTACAAAAGGCCATACAAAGAATTGGTGAAATTTGCATAAGGTACGGTTTTTTGACAGCTCACATCCATAGTGTGTCCATCTGTACAACAAAAAAGGGCCTTCAAGTGTGTTGTGCAATTAGTCCAAGGTTCTACTGAGTGTCCTTATGGCAGGAGCTCAAAAACTGTTGGTGAATCTTACAGACCTCGTCTTGAAAAAGATCATATGTGTCTTTTGCTTCACTACTCTACCTGCTCTGATGAGGTTAGAGATCAAAGAATATTCACACTGCTTCAGAAAGGAACATTTTGGCCTCACTTTTAGTTTAGCACATTCCTAGTTATGGGAACAAATAGCACAATTATTGAAATTAACTCTTGGCGAAACTCTGTGCTCTACGAGTGCTTTTCTGTCAAACATGTAACTGTTGAAATCAAGCAAAATGAAACAAAATAACTCACCACTGACCCTGACCTCGGTCCCGTTCCCGAACAGGACTTGTCCACAGGCGGCCACTGCGAAGTAGTACGTCCCAGTTTGCTCTGAGCTCACCTTATGAATGTGGAGGTTGTAGAAGCAGGGGTTTGTTGGACTGTCCGTGCTGTTCTCGCACTGATCACTAATATTCCCACGACTGTAGAGAACTCCTGCTGTGGATTCTTCAGACTTCTTGAACCAGTGAAAGCTGTGTGCTCCATTACAGCTCCCAGTCTGGACGCTACAGTTTAAACTCACAGATTCTCCTCGATCTATGTCCTCATTTTCTGACTGCTGGATCTTAAAAGTCAGGTTTTCTCTCATCACAACAACATTAAAGGTTTCAGTGATGTCCAGATTGTAAAGATAATACCGTATGCAAAGGTAAATCCCTGAATCAGATGTTTGGACATGTGTAATATGGAGGTCCTTATTCCCGTGTTGAGTTCCCAGTGAGAATCGTCCGCTGCTGTTGAATTCTCCACACAAAGTTGGAGTGCGCTGATATTTAGTCAAAGACATAAGACAAACTGTCTTTTTGCCTAAACTTTGCTTGTACCAATAATATGTTGATTCAAACTCTTTGTCATCTTTGTTAAAACAGGGCAGAGTGATGTTGTCTCCAGGAACAGCGAAGAGGAAATGGTTTGTTTCTTGAAGAGTCACTTGATCTGAAATTAAATGACCACAACAAAGTCTAATTTTAACTCATTTCAACAGATGATGATGTTCATAATTCTAAAGAAACTCACTGTTAGTGACCAACACTATACTGAAGACCAACACGAGACTGAAGACCAGCAGAACTCTGAACGGTCGTCCCATGTTGAGATGCAGGTGTAGACTGGAAATGGTTGATCCCGCCTCTGCTCTTTACAGCCAAGCTCGCATCTGATTGGCCGACAAGATGAAAGGATTTGATTTGCTGCATTTCAGTCTACAGCACAATCTCATGTTGTTGTATTAATACCATCACAGGCTGCTCACATTGTTGTGCAGCTCAAGTCCAGAGAGAGAAATTGACTCTCCCTCTGGACTTGAGTGGATCTCTCCTTTACTGAGGTTCTCCTGAGGATTCTCTGTTCTAGCTGGTGGTGATGGGGAGGAGGAGGGTTACTGCACAACCCTAAACCTAATCCAATTCTTAACCCTCGTGCTATCCTCGGGTAAAATTTACCCGTCACAGGGATAATTTTTTATTTTTTCAGGACATTTTTTTTTGTCTTTTTAACCAATATTTAGGATATTCTTCTTATACTTTAAATTGTCTGTAGCGGGTCATTTTGACCCAAGGGACGCTTCCAGGTGAGATATTAGAAGCAGGAAGCCACTGCTGAGTGTCTCTGCTGATGCAGCACAGTTTCCAATCTGAACCTCATCTCCACTTTAAACTGTTGTTCAGAAAGTGTCATTTGTGATGAGTTGATGTGAGCTGTTTTCTGGTGACACAAGATGTAGATGTATTTAAAGTCACATACTGTCCCTTTAAATCAAACATAATCCAAACCAAATGATGAAAAGTTTTGGAATTGTTGGAAGAGATTCTTTAGTGCCGTGAAAGAGGAGTTATCTTTCCACACATGGATCCTTTTGATGTCAACCCCAAATACATATAAAGCTTTATTTCTCCTCATTTTCCTCCAGACATTGGTGTCCACACACAGGCTCAGTTTGATAATGAATTACAGTCATACATTCTGTGAGACCAGTCTGTGGTGTTCAGACTGTGCTTTGTCTCTTTCTGAAACTGTATGACTTCCTGAGTCAAACCACTTTGCTGCAAAGACACAGATTCTTAATGTTCACAGATTACAGCCGTCACAGAAGAGGTCACTTTACAAACTGAGAAAAACATGTTATAATAAGTTCCAGTTATTCCAGCTTCAAGGACTTCATTTAAGAAAGAAATCAAATTATCTAAAAGTGACATATCTTTAGAAACTCCTCAGAACACGATGTAAAGATTATAAATGAGGTCTAACTTTGATTACACAAAAGCATTAGGATGATGACACCAGACAACTCTACTCACGTGAATGAATATTTAAGAATGTTTATTTTTCATATTAAACAAAAACTAAATAAAATAAATACATTTATGTATTTCCAAGTTCCAGACCTTGGTTAACCACATGAACTGGGTCACGCTCAGCTCTGATCTCATATTTCCAGACAGTATCGTGGGCTCCTGAATAGGTTTCAGATCACACCTGAATCTTTGTAAGAAAATGAAAACAACTGCTGTGATCAGTTTAGTTTTTATTGATGCTACAAACGTAACATCACACACTCACAAGCATAAAGGAAATCTACACAGCATAATAAAGGGTATATTTAAAACAGAAAATCAGTCATGTAAATTATATATAGTCCCATTCCCTATAAAGAGCGGTTTAAAAGCTAAAATATTAAGCATGATCCTCTACAGCGACTGCATCCCTGCAGACGCTAAACCGTCTCAATCTCAGGCTCCATCCTTCTCTCACTGAGAACAAGACCTGAGACTGGAACTCCTGCATTAAAGTCCTGGTGTAATAGTGAGTGACTTTGTGGTATCAGATTGTGCGTCGGCCATCTTCAGGATCATGGAACAGACTGAGCAGTGATCCTACAGTAGTTGGAATACACGCTCCGGTCTCCTTCTCAAAGACACCACCCCATGATTTGCTCCAAAGGCACTGGTCCTGATCGTTGCAGAGACGTGTCAGCCAAGACAGTTCCACACCATCCAGAGCTCGGCTGTCAAAGCTGTTCTCAAACGACCAGTGGGGCTAAAGTATTTCATTTCAGCCAAGCAAGAAAACACCAGACTCCATTCGAGTCTTAACTTCAGCTCGGTTGGAATGAAATCCTGCAGCCACACAGGCCTTTTGACGACTGCTTTGACATCTCTGCTCTAGAGACTGAAGACATTCAGGACGGATCTCATCCACTCCCAGGTTCTTGCACCGAGGAGGTCACCAACGACCTCTGACCCCAGCCAGAGAGATGGAAGTATCCGTCCCAAGGTCTTCAAACTAGAGGACGGGGGTCGAGGAGAACCTTAAAGTGTTCATTCACCGTCCAACAGTCCCTCCAGTATCTACAGCTGCTCTGTAAACACTGCTGATCAAAGTGAATATATATAATGCATTATAATTGTTGAAACGTTGATAATTATCTAAAGCGATGTATACAAGGAAAACAATGGCATCTGGAGAAACTACAGCATATATGAAAAGCTTTTTTGCGCTCACTGCTCCACACTGAAGTAGACACACTCGCTCCATGTGTCATGTGACTGTCTCCTTCTGTTCACCTGCTCTGTGGCCTTGTACTGCAGACGTTTGGGAACATCCTGATACAGAGCAAAATAAAAACACATCGTGATCCTTTGGTTTTTATGTGATTGAAACTAACCCACAGGAAACAAGTCCATACCTTTGCCTTAGCTGCAGCACCTTTCACGGATTTGTCTGCAAAGAAGAATGGGTCAAAACTGAGAACGAGGAGATGCTATTAAGACAACATGAGAAAGATAATTAAAGAGGACACACCACATTTCTTTCTCAAACAACAGATCAGAGAATCAAACAGCTCGAACACAGTAAATGCAATAATAATAAAACACAAAGGATCCATGGGTCCATAGGGAGCGGGACGACCACTGTCTAGAAATGTCCTGGATCATCCCTGTCCTTAGACCCTCCTGCGTTTATGATTCTTATTATTATATGTTTAGTGGATTGAAAATCTCAATATTGATCTAAAATGATCCCATTAATAGTTGAGTCTGCTTCTTTCCTCTGTCTGTGTTTGGTCAGAGGAGAATATGAATAACTCAAAAACCCCTGTGAGTGTAAATGACAAAGATAAATGATTATAGTAGGTCACTTAGACCATAAAACAAGAAAACAAATGTTGCAAATTATGAATGGCTTCAACTTAGTCCAGATGGTGAAGGGACCAACAAGGATCACAAACAACTCTAGCACTCAAATTGATTTGATCTTTTCCAATCATCCAGAACGGATTGTTAAAACATATGCTAACTGGACTATCAGATCATAATATGGTGCTAATATCAAGAAAACTAACTAGACAACGTTTCTCGGCATATTCTGGAAAAAAAGAATTTATAGGTATCCCTAAGAATAAACAAGAAGAGTTCAACTCTGCAATAAGCAACATAAACTGGGGCAGTTTGCTATCAAATAATAAACTTGAAATCTCCTGTCAGAAATTTACAGAGTGCTTACGGTCAAAAATAAATGAGTTCACAATTAAGGTTAAATATAAAAGTAAAAAGTCCTCCTTTCCGTGGGTCAATGATATTATACAACAATTAATGAAAGCAAGAGACAGTGCTCTTAAAGTTGCTAACAAGTCAAAACTAATTTGTGACCGACAAAAATTCACTACGCTCCGGAATAAGGTGACCAGACAATTGAGGAAAGCAAAGGCAGACTTTTTCATAACTATTATTAATAATTGTCAGGGTAACTCTAAAGCCATCTCGTCACAGATCAATAAACTAACTTGCAAAGCAACCTCCTCATAAAACGATACAGCTAAACAATAATGGTAAACTATTACAGAATCCATTGGATGTGGCTCAGCTTCTCAATAATTACTTTGTTGATTCGGTGATGACTATAGCTAAAGGTTTTTCTTTACAAATCCAAAATGTACCCCCCTGTTGTACAGTTGTATCTAATGAGCCTCCGCTATACCCAAGCTCTGTATCTACATCTGATGTGGCAAAAGCAATAACGCTCCTAAAGACATCTAGAGCTAAGGATGCATATGGTCTGGACACGTATATGCTAAAACAAATAAGTCAATCAGTTATCAATTTATCAACACACATCATCAATATGTCAATCAGTGAAGGGATATTCCCGGAATCATGGAAACTTGCACATGTAATTCCAATACTTAAAAGTGGTAATGCTCAACTGACCTCTAATTACAGGCCAATTAGTATTCTACCTACTGTGTCCAAAGTATATGAAAAGCTGGTTGTCGAGCAAATAGTTGATCATCTTAATAATAGTTCCTCCTCATTGCATCCAATGCAATTTGGATTCAGGTCCAATCATTCAACTGAAACAGCAACTTGTTATTTTCTGGAAAAAGTCAAGTCATCATCAGACAAAGGGGGAATAGTCGGGGCAGTTTTTCTCGATCTGCGGAAAGCATTTGACACAGTCAACCATTCAATTGTATTAGAGAAACTTCAGAATTTTAACTTTTCCACAAAATATATCAATCTTATTAAATCATACCTTTCAGCTCGCACACAAGTCGTACAAATCAACAATCATAATTCCCATCCATTACAATTATCCACTGGAGTGCCTCAAGGCTCAATAATTGGCCCTATTCTTTTTAGCATATACATTAATGATTTACCATCAGTATCCAAGACCTGTAACACCCTTATGTATGCAGATGACACGGTCATTTTTGCACATGGCAAAACAACAGAGGAGGTTGCTTCAAAGCTAACAGAGGCCATGGTGTCGGTTACATCCTGGCTCGAAAAATCCTGCCTTCAACTTAATATATCCAAAACTGTTTGTATGTTCTTCTCAAAAAACACCAGAAATACTATAAACATTATACCAGATATTTCAATAGCAGGACAAAAAATACAAGTAGTCACAGAATTCAAATATCTAGGATTATACATTGATTCAAACCTCAGCTTCAAAACACACATCCAAAACACTAGCAATAAGATTAAATTCTGTTTATCAAATTTTAGGTTCATTAGAGACTATTTGTCAAATGAAGCTGCCAAAATATACTTCTTTTCCATGGTCCTCTCACATATCACCATATCATCATAAGTTGGTCAAACGCACACGCCACAACAATCAAACCCATGAAATCATTATATAAACAAGCGCTTAAAACATTGGATAAAAAACCCTACAGATATCACCATTGTCAGATTTTACAGAAATATAAGTTACAAAATTGGGACAATCTTATAAAATTCAAAAACATTTGTTTAATGTATAAAATTAAAACTGGCTGTGTTCCGCCTTCACTGAGCAAGTTTGTAAACTTCAGATTGAGTGCAGCCAGAGTAACTCGAGGGGCAGTGAGGGAAGACTGCGTCCTCCCCCTCAGAAAAACTGCATTTGGTCAGGCCGTGTTTTCTTATAAAGCCTCCCAGCAGTGGAACTCAGTGCCTGAAACAATTCGCGAGTCTTCCTCATTTAATTCATTTTTTAAAAAAGCCAAAAAGTGGCTCGTGGAGACACAGACTTGTGAGCACTAGTTATATTGAAAATGTATACTTTGCTCATTTCATGTACTATGTATGTATGCAATTATATTGTGTCTTGTAAATTGCTATGTGATTTTAATCTTGCTTTTTCAGGCTGGCTTTGACATCTGCCAAAGGGTCTACCGATGAAAATTAGCTTTTCTGCTAACTCGGGCATATTTACATTGTAAAATGTTGATTAATGTGCACTGTCCCTTTTCAAATAAATAAATTCAGAAATTCAGAACTTATGTTTGCACATGTTTGTATCACCTTTAAAGTTAGTTTGCTGAGGTCTAAGCCAGATTTAGTCTGTTGTCTCTTTGTTTTACCCTTGTTTTATTCAAACCACATGAAATAAATCTTCAACAGTTTTTAGCATCCATCCATATTCTTCCCTTTAATCCATTTCCGGGGCCGGGGGGATGGCAGTCAGAGCTGCACCCAGTACACATAGCACCAGCCCCTCACTGATCCTCCTGCGGGTGGTGAGTCCACCGGAGCCTTGATCTTTCAGCGGGGGCTTCAGGCAAAGTTGGGTTAAGTGTCTTGTCCAATGACACAACAACAGCAGTCATCAGTGGGAGTCGTGATGTAGGTCTCATGGTGGGCTGGAACCCACAACCTTCGGGCCCAAATGCCAATGCTCTACCAACTGAGCCACCGTCGCCCACAGTTCTTACCTATGTTGTTATTTGTGCACAAGCAGAAAGAGAGTCCAACAACCAGACTGGTGCTGAACACAGACACTCCACTCAAGACAAAGACCAACATGTCTGAGACTTCTACAAATGAACAGAAAGGGAATGATCAGACTGTTATTGGGTTTATTCCAAAGATGTAGCTCACCCCTGATCCTGACTTCGGTTCTGTTCCCAAACAGGACCTGTCCACAGAGGTCCACAGCGCAGTAGTACGTCCCAGTTTGCCCTGAGCTCATGTTATGAATGTGGAGGTTGTAGAAGCAGGAGTTTGTCGGGTTTATTTTGTCGCTCTGGCACTGATCCTTGCCGTAGAGCACTGCTGCAGACTTTTCAGACTGTCTGAACCAATGGACCCTGTGTGGCCCCAGACACGTTCCAGAATCAACCTCACAGCGAAGGACCAGAGCGCGTCCTGCTTCCACTGGTTCTGACGCTGTTTGATGGATGCCGAGTCCAGGGTTCAAAGTCTTTACAAAGACGTGAACAGACGCCAACAACTCGATTTGATGAGCCACTGCACTGAGGCAATGATAAACAGCTGAATCCAAAATTCTGACCTGTGATAGTTCAAGATTGTTTTTACTGTCTTCTTCATCTAGTTTGAAGCGATCATTGTTGGCGAAGTCACCGTAAAATTCAGTTTGGAAGTAAAAAGAAACCACAGCCGTAGTGTTGTCAATACCCTGTTTGTACCAGTAAAGTCTCCCTCGATTGTTTTTACGGAAACACGGCAAAGTCACATTCTCTCCAAGTACCACTGTTAAGAGCGTCGTCTTTACTGCTGCACCTCCATCTGTCCACGGCTGATAATCTTTGCTCTTCACTGAACGAAAGAAAAGGTAGAAGTTAGAGCAGGGTGGAGACAAGACTAAGACACAACAACAGAAACTCACCCGTGACCAGATGTACGAGAAGGAGGAGAAGAAGATGTACCATCTGCACAGGAGCCATTCTCTTCAAACTCTTCTCTTCACTGAACTGCGTCCTGACTTTGTCAAGAAATAAGCTTGATTCTGATTGGCCGAGCTAAAGTCACACCACACAGTGACATGAACACGTAAAGATTGGGGAGATTGGTGTTTTTCCTCCACATATACCCACAGACACAGACACACCTACAACATCCTCATTGGTTTGAGAGAAACGTAGCGAACAGAGGCAAACTGCCTTTTTTAAAGCTACAAGGTGTAATTTTTGAGAGATGGCAGGTCACTCATTCGGCAAGGCAGATTTTATTTGTATAGCACAGTTCATACGCAACACAAACAAATTTAACATTGTATCTTGTTTTTGACATTTAACAAAACAAGATACAAACAATCACACAAGGCATTAAATCATTTATTATCACACTACATTAAAAAGAGTGAAGATACAATCGCTCAGTTGTATACACAGCTAAACAGAACTGTTTTTACCTAGATTTGAACATTGTCCGAGAAGAAGCCTGTCCCACATTTTTAGGAAGACTGTTCCAACTGTGGTCTCATCACCACTTACAGACAGCAGAGCTAAAGCTGGGTGTTCTGTTCTATAGATCACTGGTTCCCAAAAGTTTCTGGCTGGTGTAACAGGCCGTTTTATACCCCCTGGTCAGTTTGTACCGTGGGTATAAAATAGCCCCGGAGCTAAAATGGTCTAGGCTATTTTAGCTCCCTTTAGGCCAGATTAATCCCCCTCTTGTTTTATCTAATAAAAATAAAATATATGATAGCAGTCCGTGCGCGGTAGAGACGCACGGACTGCGCGGCAAAGGAGCGGCAGAGGCGCAGGAGCAGAAAATTGATGCACGCAGGAGATAAATATTGCTGAGCGTTTCCTCGGGACGTTCATGCAGCGACCAATCAGAGAGCTGCAAAGTGGTCACGGGGACATTAGTTGTCTGAGCGAGCAGACTGAACATACTTGTAAACAGCCAAAACAGGAGCTATACCAGGACTAAACCAGGGTTGACAAAGGGGGACATAGTGCTTGTGAACATATGCGCTTTCATGCTCCCGTGACTTTATGCAACTGCTTTGAGCATGTTCTCCGATGCGGAAGTACCGTTTAATAATAAAATAAACGTATGGCGCACCTCCGTGACCACAAACCACTGTTGTATGAAGTCTCTGGAAGGTCTCTGGACACAGAAACGCTGCAGAGCTGCATTATTGGAGAAGAATTTTACACAAAAACCCGTTAGCTTAACTCCGTTAGCATCAAAGTCCGCCCGCTACTTCCGGCGGGTGCCACCGCTGGCCATGACTTCTGGTCTGAAGACCCCTGTGTCTGAAAATTAGAGAATGTGCGTCTGGTGCGCGAGGCATCAGCATTCCAGCGTCAACGGTGTGAAAGCACCTTTAGGACGTTTGAGTAGATATTAATTACGGGCAAATGACACCAATGCTCCGGAGCTTTTGTTGCTCTCTCTGAAGCAAATTGTTTCAAAACACTGCATTGGACGTGTATCAAAACAACCGGTCACGTGACAAACGTGTCAGTGTCTGGGACTCTGCAGCCTCTGCTTCACTGCATATCAACTGTGTCGGTGTCGAAGAGTTTCTTTGGCTCATTGTGTTTCCTGACTTCTCATTGGATCATGGAAGAGTTACATTTGGCTTCCTTGGTGTGACGGCTGATGCGTCAACTGTTGGTTTTGAATAAAAAACCTGTGATTTACGCATAGAGTGCAGTCCTTTTGTTTCTGTAAATTGTTTTTGTATCTAAATATGTAGATATGTTCTGTATTGAAACATGACTGACATAACTGAGGCTGCCAGTCTGCACCAACGGACCACCACCAACACTCACTCACATGTCTCATTCAGAAAGTATGAGTTTTTAAGAAGTGTCAAGTCAGGTTCATAATCTGTCAAAGGTTGACAAAACAGATTTGGTCCAAAAATGTTGCTGCTTTGGGAAGTAGTCAAGTTTTTTCTTGTACAACACGTTTTGGACATAGTTTGTAAAGTGAGACTCCACAGCATAAGTTCAAAGTCAGCCACACACCTCAGCTATGATACGAGCAGTGAAAAGGATTGGGGAAAGGACTGTTACCTGTGGAAACATTCATGTTTTTCCTCATGGCTCTGATCAGTAAGAAAGCCAGGAGCCTCACCAGGACTGAGGCCAACGCCAAGGCTCCACTCAACACCTTCACAATAAATCCATCTGAAACACCATCTTTAAACAAAAAGGAGAATGTGATTGGAAAATTATTATCAAGGAGCACAAACAGAAGCTGAAACTACTGCCACAAATGTGATCACAGAATCAGTAATAGATTCTTTTTTAGTTGGAGCACAGTTTGCGTCATAGTCAGGTACTATTAGAAGGTAAATCCCCAAACTGCTGGGGAGGCAGTGTTTCAGATTAATGCAGCTAAAATCTGGAACAGTCTTCCTGATAGTGTGAGACAGGCTTCTACTTTGATAAAATCCAGGTCCAAACAGTTTAGCTGTGCATACAACTGAAGGATTATACAGTGCCTTTCAACATTTCCCCACATTTCAGGCTTCAAACATAAAGATATAAAAATTTAATTTTTTGTCAAGAATCAGTAACAAGTGGGACGCAATCTTGAAGTGGAACAAAATATATTGGATAATTTAAACTTTTTTAACAAATAAAAAACTGAAAAGTGGGGCGTGCAATATTATTCGGCCCCCTTGCGCTAATACTTTGTAGCGCCACTGTCACGCCCCCATCTGTCACTAGTCTTCACAGCCTCTTGCTCCTCCCTGTGTGTGTGTGCGTGTGGACCTGGGTGGAGTCTGGAGCTGCTTACCTGCTCTCACTTCAACAATCAAGCAGCCTACATCCAGCCAGCTCTCCAGACAGACTCTGCCAGATTGTTTCGTCTCAATCACGGTGATTTTTCAGTCGGCTACTTTTGATATACTGTTGATACTACCCCTTTTTGTATACTCACCTTTTTGTCTCCTGTGTTCCTAGCTCCTGGGCTAGGACTAGTGGCAGCCCTTCCTAATCACCTCCGGAACAACGCAATAAACATTTCATTTTTGTATTTCTGTTTTAGTCTGTTTATTGGGTCCTATCGCCAAGCCGTAACAGAACAATCTGGCCAACATGGACCCAACAGACCCAAACGATTTGTTCGAAGTGGACACTGCATTGCAACCGGAACCCAACCCTTTGTTCCAAGCTGTTTCCAGCCAAGGCCAACTACTTGGGAAGCACGAGACCCAGCTGAAAGAGATTTCTCACAATCAACAAACTTTTGCTGCCCAGATGACTCAAATTGGAATCATGCTTTCAAACCTAACCACTGCTTTTTCCCAGTTCTCTGCTGCTGCCTCTGCTGCTCCACCATTGCTGTCTCCGGGTGCCCAGTCTCAAGTCGCTCCACCACCTACTGCTCTTCATCCAGCTCAACGTGAACCTCACATACCCACTCCGGAGCGATATGCGGGGGATCTTGGTGCATGTGGTCGGTTCCTCCTCCAGTGTTCTCTGGTTTTCGATCAGCAGCCCCAAACTTATGCATCAGATAAGTCTCGCATTGCCTTTGTTATAAGTTTATTAACTGGAAAAGCATCTCAGTGGGTTACAGCAGCATGGGAGAGCAACTCAGACATTTTTCGCTCCTATTTAGTTTTTTCTAATGAAATGCGTAAGCTATTTGACCACCCAGTGAAGGGCAAAGAAGCAGCTAAGAGAATGCTAGCTCTTAACCAGGGAACCTCCTCCGTTGCCCAATATGCCATAGACTTCCGTATCCTTGCTAATGAGAGTGGTTGGGATGACACCGCCCTACAAAGTGCATTTTTCAGAGGGTTGGCAGACAGCGTGAAGGATGAGCTTGCTGCCAGAGATGAAACTAACAGCCTTGATGAACTAATCTCTTTGGCCACACGTCTAGATAATAGACTCAGAGAAAGACACAGGGAGAAAAAGTCACGCCCGCCATCATCTGGTGGTCTTTATGCTCCCGCATCATCTCCTACCCCCTCCCCTGCACCTTGTTTTTCTTCTATGCCTTCTCGAAACTCTAGATCCTCTGATGCTGAGGAGCCTATGCAGCTAGGCCGAACCCGGCTGTCTCAAACAGAGCGCCGCCGCCGTCAGATGTCTGGTCTCTGCCTCTACTGTGGACAGGAGGGACATAACGTCACTTCATGCCCACGACTGCCAAAAGAGTAGGCTCACCTGTGACTGGAGAGATCCTAGTGAGCCAAACTGTCTCTCCGCAGCCGTCTTCTGACCGGCTTCTTCTCCAGGCCTCCATGTTTTGGTCCCGTGAGTCTCTTTCACTCCACTGTTTTGTCGATTCAGGCTCAGACGATAATTTTATTGACTCTACGATTGTACTGGAAGCCAACATACCAACTGAGCCACTTGAGTGCCCCAGAGAGGTTAATGCATTAAATGGAAGTCACCTAGCCAAGATTACTCGCATTACTGTACCAGTCATCCTCATTCTCTCGGGTAATCACCAGGAAGAGATCCGTTTGTTGGTTATTTCTTCTCCTTTAGCTCCTGTAGTTTTGGGACTTCCGTGGCTAAAACTTCACAAT